TATAGGTATACGTTGGATATGATCATAAATATTCAGGTAAAAATCCAAATGGTCTTGCCCTCTGTGGGGCTGCATTGATGCCTATAGTTCTCATTTCTTGTTTTATTTTCTGATATACGCAGCTAGTGGGAAGTCAGACCTCCTCAATGGTGATGGAAAACTCGAACGGGAACTGTCCCTTACGAGGAGAGTCAGTGGGGGTGACGTGAATGAAAGGTCGCGTGATTCGCCCAAGATTAGTGTGTCTGGTACATGGGTAAGTGTATACGGGTACTGCGTTAGGCGACTATCATTTTATTACTGATTCATACGTCAATGTCTGTTGTATGGTCCTATGGGCTGCGGCGCTATTTATATAACTGCTCGACGTCGGAGATTTTTAACACTCCACTGATATATGCTGACTCGGCGATATGAGGCTATCGCGACTCTCCGCATCGATGCAGTCAGAGCTTCCACCACTCACTTTAAAGATATTCATAACGTATTTGTTGCTCGACTGCGGGATTGGTCGATACTTGGTACACTTTTAGTCACTCCTTTAGATTTAACCACTTCGATTCTAGATTACACCGTTCATTCTGGTATATTGGCGGTAAGCAAATTGGTATATATATATATATATCAATTTGTATACGGCTAATATGCGAGAATACCATCACTCATGGAAATACTTTCCCTTCTCCTCGGATACTCACAAGAGTATCGGCCTTGCTTTTTGCTGGAATGAGAAATAGAACAACAATGCACTGCATGGATTAAGTATTAGACTTCGTGCAAGCTTATGTCGCCTTCATACACCTATCATCAGAGACCGGTGGGTGACAAAACTCGGGCCCGGAGCAATACGGCTAAGCTTTTACGACAGGCACGACCAAAGAGCACGGATAGCGAGGTATGGTTGTAATTTTCAATTGGTACATCTCTGTGTATTCTGGTGCTTACGTTGATTGGAAGTTCATGCGCGTGTCTGTGGCATAAAATGAGGAAGTCCTGCAGGGATTCTCTGCAGCCATTCTGATCTATTTGCACTCAGTGCTATCTAGAGCATTGCGTAGACATTCAGTGCTATCTAAGACACTGTATGGGCGTGTGAGTCATATCGGTGCAACCTATCAGATCGTCGCAGTTCGGCAGTCACAGCCGCATTGCCTCGCCTGTGTTCTCAAGTTTTGCGTAGTTGATCATTGGACAACCTGGCCAACATACGTACCTGTACATTTCTTGCGACACGCTGATTTTAAACCTGGTACTAGACACTAACATGGATGTGGTAGTATGCAGGTACGCTGAGGACTACTGTGGTATCATAATTGTGGTATCAGACAGTTGATTTGTATACAACAACTACCCCTATCTGTGGTAGGCGTGTCTGCGGCCGGTACGATTGGCGGTCTTTCGATGACCAAGTGGACATGATTAAATCACTAATGGTACCACGGAGATTGCTACTTGGCAGCATCATCAGCCTCTTGCAACAAACACAGCTTTCCCACAGACTTTTATACACCTTGACTTTTATACACCTTGGATATCTACCTTCCGCTCTCATCCTCACTGTCCTTAATCTTGTTTACCGTCTCTCTATCCCTTTGCGCTGCGTATGATGTAGATGGTAGCCTCGAGAATGGGCGGCTCGGCCACACCGGAGACGACCAAATTCGAAGAGGTGCCTCTGTTCAAGCAGGCCCAGACCAGCCGCCCCCGCATTCTACCGTCGATGTTGTCCATGGATGCCCTTCCAGTGAACCTGAAGTAAGTCCCGGCTGGCTGTATTCCAATGAGGGGTTCTGCCGTTGTGCCGGTCCTGCAGGATTGTCAGGACTCGGTGGGTCAACACGGTGCACCGGGCAAGCTTGCGAAGTGTAGAATACACTAATGCGACAGCTGCGCTTGAACTCATTTGTATCGTAAACCGATTGTTTTTGTGCACTGGTTCATATCCCGTACTAATGCATATTTTGAACTGATTCCTTTTAATACAAAGGTCCGTAACTGAGGGATTTGTCAAGTCTACGGACATACACACCAGTCGCCACACACCCGGCCATCATCTATCCGCTGGCCGAACTTCGGGCGCAGTAGTGGACATCGCGTGGTCGATCGAAGAAGCGTACGTTTTCTTATTGCAAGCCTGACTCAGGGTGTTGCTGCATGCTATATATATATATATATATATATATATATATATATATTATATATTATATACCAATATACCCGTAATCTGTAAGGATGCTTGTTCATTCCGATGTGCTTGCCCCTCGGCTTCACTCGGCTTCACCACGAATGCGTGCCGCACGCGCAAAGTAAATGTATTGGGTGTGCGGGGCACACTCTGGGGCCAACTTACGTACCACAACTATTCCTATCACCATCATCGGCACTAACATACCCTATTCACAAATACATCTTATTCACTCATATATCCGGATTATTCACAAATATATACTTTTCACTAATATATCCTATTCACTAATATATCCTATTCATTAGTATATACTATTCACTAATATATATCTTATTAACTTGAATATTCTATTCACTAATACATTCTATTCACTCATATATCCTATTCATATACTCTACATGCATGCATGCACCACTACAGAAAGCACCTGGGCCAGGCCCAGATGCATTTCCCCCACGGCTTCACCGTCACCACGTGCCACAACGGCAATGTGTATGTGTCGGGTGTGTGGGCCAACTGGCCCGCATTCATCGCAGGGCTGCGGTTTGGAGACCAAATTCTAAAAATAAACGACGTGCGTGTACAGGGGCTACGACCAGCACAGGTAGGTGGGATTTGTTGTCTATCTGTAGTTTACTACCTTTCTTTCTGGGAGTGTCAGTGTATTGCACTCATGGCGGCGTGCGTCTGGCTTCATGCTGAGCCACTCGGCACACACATCAGCAATATCGCAGCAGCACACACAGATGGATGCAATGAGACCCTCACAACGAACAGTAGCCGTATGTGTGTTATACACTGACACCTCATCGACCACGAACAATAGCCGTGTGTGTCTGTGTCTGTGTCTGTGTCTGTAGTGCACGTCCTGATTCCAGGACTAAAAGCATAGTGGTATATGGGGGGGATACTTCTCTGAGTTACATTAGGCTGTCCCGTGACAACCACTCGTTTGATTGGACCCGTCAATTCTCAGTTTAATCGTAAGCATGTTCAATACATGGTTGGTCCGTTGTGATAGTCTGCGGCTATTGCAATGTTAAACACACCATCCCATCCGGCTCTGAGATTTAAATCTGCAACACATCCGGCTGGGAGGTGTAGTACGTCCCCGTACTGGACCAAAAGTACTTACCCATCAATACAGAAAGCACCACGCAACAATCTATATGGCACTCATACTCACCAAAGCACCACAACAATCCGTATTGCACTCATACTCTCATACTCACTCCTTTGATCGGCGTACGTATTCGCTGGGCTCAACAGGTGTATGAGTTACTGGCTGCGTCTGACGCCCACGTACTGCGGATCAAGAGTCACCCCTTCGAACACACCGTCACGGTAGAGCGCCGGGAGAACCCGGAAACAGGGGCACTAGAGATACTTGGGATTACTTTCCTCAAGGGCAATATCCTGAAGGTAGGCACGTGCTTGCGTTGACGTTTCTAGGGTTTTAGTGTATATGTCACTTGCTCGGAGAGGGCCAGCACTCGGGGGAACATTCCTCATGGCTGGCTTACTCGTGATGAATGGCGCGTTCAATAGCATTGGAGGCTTAGATACGCGGGCGGCACTCGGCTGCTGTCCTATATGCGTCTGTTAGTTGGTTCCATGCCCTGATCTTTTAAGATGTTGTCCTGATCTTTTTGGGTGTTGTCCTGATCTCTTTGGGTGTTGTCCTGATCATTTTGGGTGTTGTCCTGATCTCTTTGGGTGTGTGTTTCTGAGTCATACCTGACTCATCTGGTGCGCGGCGGGGATTTAAGTTTACTTACTATAACATGATCGATGACGCTGAGGTCCTGGGATCAGTTTCCATAGCAGCTGATACGAGCAAGGACTAGTCACGTATACACACGTATATCCATATGTCGACCCATGAACAGACCGCCTATATCCAGTCTACGCACTCCTATTCGTCCATACCTTCGCTGTCAGATCTATCTAACCTAGTTATTGTGCACAGTGGGGCTATGTCCATCCACTATCTCGTAGTCGCTGTCACGCAACCGCTTGTGCTGCTGAAGGCTCTTGCTGTATGCCAAGCACATGCCCAGACCAACCAAGCACCCACGCATAGCCACAACCTGGCCACTCGTATTCATTCATTGACGGAGAACTCTGTTCTCTCACGCACGCTGTAGGTATTGCCTGGCACGGCCGTTGCGCGGAGTGGTTTCACTTTCACGGACCATTACATCATCGCCGTCAACGATGACATCGTACTGGGTCTGCCGGACAAGCTGATTATGCAGAAATTCAAGGAAACGGGCTCTGTTGTGAGTGTAACGGTTGTCCACAAGACCCACTTCCTCGAGGTAGGGTCTAGGGTGTGTGTTTTTATATCTGTATGCTCGCTGTGTGTGCTGTTGTGTGTTCAAGTGGTGAAGTACAATGCTGCAGTGATAGTGACCGGACGATGAGCTTTCTCCATCAGAGTGCCTGTACAGGCCTAGGATGGCATTTCCCTGTATCAACTATAGTGAACAAACCCAGACCCAAGCCCAAACACCTGACCCAACACTATGCACGGCATCTGTTCCCGTAGATTATAGGCACCTGTGCGAGCTCGCTGGATCTGCTGCGGAGGTCAGCGCTAGTGGATGTGATGGTGGGCTACTGTCGCTCCCTTTCCCCCGGTGGCCTGCAGTACTACTCGGCAAGGGAAGACGATGACAAGACGGAGATTGGTGTGTGTGTCTGTGTCTGTGTATGTTTATGTGTTTTAGTGCGCCAGAGGGTCCATGTCGATACATAGATAGGCAGATCTGAAGAACTGTTTGCGTACATATATGTACGGATCGGCCTGGACTGGATGTTTGGTTGTTATGTTAGTGTATGCGCGTCTTTTGCAAATAATATCGGCCACATCGTAGCATGCTATCTCACCGCCGACTTAGAAGGTCACGTGCGATGTTTGTGCTCGATTCCATACCACTTGTCTCTCATGTAGAGGTCGTATAACCACATTTTACGCATTCAACCCCCGTTCTCATGTGCACAAGCGTACTCGTGCAGCTAGATACATTGCAGGTCATTTTCACACACACAAACACACACACATTAATTGCTCACATTTGAACGTAGTGTTCTATCCCATGCCGACTATCCCACTCTCTCCCTCATCCGCCACAGTGACACACTCACACATTAATTCCTTACATGTGGACCTAATACTCTATCTCATACCGTCTGTCCCCACTTCTTCACTCACAGCGGTGGTCCAAGGCGCCACGTCATTGGTATCCAGTTTACAAAATACAGCAGACACCATAGGAGCCGATACTCGCCTACCACCCCGCAAACAACAGCAATACCAAGACCCCCAGAGCCAGCAATACAACCCACCAGCCACCAAACACACACAGCCTGAGGGAGGTATAGCGCGAGCCCGGTCCCCTGCGATCCAGAATAGCAGCCGAAGTAACAGCCCTCCACCGTTCCACAGACGCATGCAAAACGGGCTACTCAAAACAGCCAGCACCACCAATCTGGCCACGTTCAAGTCTCCGATGGAGTTCAGCACCACTATCACGGCATCGGGTATAGGTAGGAAGACGTCACTGGCCCAACGCGTATCGCTGCAGAACTTTACCAGCACGGTCAACAAGGGCGGAACGAGCCAGTATGTGCGAGAAAACACCTCGGTTATGGGACTGATGAGTCCTAATGCCGGCATGCGGGAGGTGCAGGTGCAGGTGTCGAGTGCAACCGGCCACTACGGTGCACCGTCACCCCGGAACAAGTCGACGTATGCTCCAATCAAGACCTCACGGAGGCGCTTGCAGCGTTCCTCTAGTTCTTTGTCCATCCAAGGGTTCCACGAGGTGTGAGCCGGTCCAGGGCAAGTGGCCCAGGGCAGGCGGGATTGGGGTAGTCCCTGTTGGGCCGAGTCCATCCTACACACACACACGAACACGTACATGCGCACACACACACACACACACACGGACACACACGGACACAGAGAGAGAACGAGACAGACATACATGCACATATTACATCTTAAGACAGAGCTCAGGACGTATACATGTAAGTGTCTGCAAAGAGTTCTCTGCACGCGGTAGCACGTGCGGCTGAGGGCCGATGGGTTGATCTGTACCGATAGAAGTTTTGTATTCATATTACGGTCGCTGTCCATGGTTTATTTGGGTTTTTTGGGTTTTTTGACTTGCGAGTGTTGGCCGGTTTGCACACAGCTTCGTCGGCGTATGTGAAACTGAGGGCATGACTACAATGAGCTCAACCTAGAGCGAATGTAGGTGTGTATAGCCGGGTCAAGCCAGAAAGGCTGAGTCAAGTACACAGAGTACCATTTCAACAGGACTCACGCGGAATCGAGCAGCGGAGATACATAGACAGGGATAGTGTTGCGAAGACCAGGCTAATTCCGTCGTTACTGGATGGCGTAGTTGTTCTGGATCCCTATATATATATGTATATGTATACCTTTATGTACATGTATGTACATACATACATACATACATATATATATATATATGTATATATCATGCATAGCATAGCATAGCATAGCATATCAAAAGGCACGTTCGCATCTCAGCATTGTATTGCCAATGTGCAGGACGTGGGCTTGTGGGAGACTGCATCGCACGAGGCCTTCGGGTGCTCAGTAGGATGTAGTGGTGTTTCATTTCTTAGTTCAATGGCGTCGGGCGCAACCATATCCTGGAATCGAAGAAGGTGTCTTCATGGCGACGAGTAGTTATGTTATTATTGAGTCCACAGGCATACAGAGAATATCTGAATGCTGCACACACTTGTTCATCTGGGCTTGGTAGGTATGTCTGCGATGGACACGGCCAGATCCACCCACTTGGAAACAAACGAGCAATTGGTCCGTGATCAAGAGCCCACGATTAGGATTGCTTATTTATAATAAAAGTCTAAATGTTGGGAGGAAACCCGCCCTCCAGCCAACTCCACGATTATTGTTTTGTATATGATGTGGACCTGAGCCCCAAATATGATCAAACAATCAGAAACAGGCGTGTACCTATATCAGTATATTATTATAATTGTTCGTAGGTGGATGCTGTACTGATGTGATGTATGTGTGTATATATGTAGATAAATATATATAAATAAACATGCATTTTATATATATATATATATATACATATATATATATATATATGTGTGTGTGTATCTATATATATTTATGTATATGTATATATGTATATATATATATATATATATGCGTGTGTGTGTATGTGTGTGTATATGTATATATACATACACACACATATTTATATATATATATATATATGTATATGTATATATATAAATATATGTGTGTGTGTCTGCATATATATATGCATAAGTATTATTTTATGCATCTATATGTATATATATGTACATCTATACGTATTTATATATATCAATAAATCTAAATCTACATGTATTTA